AAAAATAATTTAAAAAAAGTCATTTTAACTTTCACCACTAGAATTTTCCTGATTACAAAAAATAAATTTTCCCAAAAATTATAATTTATCCATCTTCATCATCAAACAATAAGATATCTAGACATCAAAAAATCAAAAACTTGATATTCATTTAAGTCAATGGGATAGAAAGGATTCGATTTATGAGAATAGAGAATGCAAAAATTAATTAAATAATGGTAGTGCGAAACTTGTTGGAGTAGTATAATAAAAAATTTACTTTGTTGAACTGTGACAAGTCAAAGATTAACTTTGACAAAGTCATTTTGATATTATCATTGGAGTTGTTCTAACCCGTTATGTTTTTTTTGGTTCACTGAAATGAAATAGAGTGATTATTAATCATTCGCCAGGCTCTCTTACAAAATAGTTATTCTCTTATAATGAATGATATTTTCATGTGGAATGTCTTTTTTATTATTTTATTAATCAACCAAACATAGAAATGGATATTTTGATAAAATAATAATTCCATTTTAGTTAGCCAAACTCTACCTTTAGGTTGAGTAAGGATCCTCTCCTTATCTTGCCTACTTCACTTCCTTCTTACAATGGTCAAGATTCATTTTAAGAGAATTTAATGGTGTAGATCATTCTAAAAAAATTATTTTTTAATTTTTAATAAAGTAATCTGAGCCATTAAATTCTTTTAGGATGAATCTTAACCATTGTAAGGAGGAAGTGAAGGAGGGAATGCAAGGAGAGAATCCTTGCTCCTTTAGGTTAGTGGTGGTGGCGGCTATATTTCTCTAGTGAGTAGAAAACCAGTGCTTCATAAGAGCACAATTGGAATGACTACCTGTTTTGTGTGGTCTAGGCCTTGCTCTTATCTTTACTGCAGGATGGTCCAGTTAGTGTCACTGTACAAGCCCAATCCCTTCCCTCTCGGGCAGTAGTGTAGGGTCGGTAGTAGCCTCATCGCTTTCTCCCAAAATTATTCGCTGCGGCACGTGGCACTGCCATAAATCTCTTTGCGGCATTGGTACTGCCACAAATCTCATTGTGGCATTGCTGCCTGCCACAGTGAATAACGGTTCTTCTATTTCTCGGGCAATTACAGTTTCTTTTTTATTTTTATTTTTTTTTCCAGCAATTTCAGCTTGTGTGCAGTTGATTTTGCTTACAATTGTGTTCCAGAAACAAAGGGAAAATGTTTAGAGCAGACTGGAATGCTATTTCAGAATGAGAGACAACGGAAGGTCGGTCAATTGGAGCTTGGAGATGTAGAACATCTAGTGCAGAAAATGCTAAAGGTAAAAAAAATACTGCTGTTACACCCAAGTTAGATTTTGTTTCATACTCGCTCTCATTTTTGAAGAGTTTTTGTGACTCGAGTTTGAGTCAAAAAATAGTCTTTCTAAAAATTAAGAGAAAATTGTGTACATCTTATCCTTCCCAAGCCCATTTTAATATGAATCTCATATAATGAGTCATCCTTAACATTACACATTACATGTCCACAGTTAATCAGTACGTTTGCTCTTTTAAGATTTCATCTACATTGAAAACATGTAAAGATTGAGTTCAAAATATTTGACATTCACCAATAGTAATAAGATTTCAGTTTTATTCTGCTCTCTCCCCTACATGTTTCTGAAATGTATTAATTAGGGTTTTTTTTCTACTATAAGTTGTAGGCCACTATAGATTTCATTGCAATAAACCAAAAATTTAGACCGATGCACCTTTCGGTTAACTTTTATTTTTTGTCATACCAAATTTAACCCCCAAAAAAATGCAAAAAAATATTGTCTAAAACAAGTAGTGTAAATGTGTTTGCGTGCTTCATAAATTTCAAAAAATGCAAAAAAATATTGTCTAAAACAAGTAGTGTAAATGTGTTTGCGTGCTTCATAAATTTCTGCAATATCAACAATATTGGTTATTCGTCATTGTTTCGCTAAACTTTGTTTGGGACATATAGATTATTTGGTACAATTTATTACAAATTAAAAACTGGTAATCTAAAAGGAGAAGTCAAAGGCACTCTATATCTAACTTTTAGAAATTAATTTTTTTTTCAATTTATTTAAATTATTTCTGCCTAATAAACTATAAGTTGAAGTTGTACCAAACAATTTGATACAAACTTCCAAATAATAAACCTACAACTTATAAGGTGCAAAATTCAACCAAACCAAGCAGAGTTGGTCATCTCCATGCTCAAATGTAAGTAGGCATGTTTTGTCAAAACATACACGAAAACTCTGGGAAATTTCTCCAAAAGGGTAGGCTATAGTGAAAAAGAAAATGCCAAAAGCAAAAGCCCATTAAAAGCCACATGCACTAGAAAACAAGAAGATATAGAGACAAAGGCCAGCTCACCATAAAACTCGAAAATGACTACACACCCCCCTTGTGTGAGGTATATTATTTTAGTAATTTTTTTGATTTTTTTATGAAAATATATAAAAAAATAAAAAAATAATATAGTAACTTATAATGACTTTTTAACTTTTTGATTAAAATTTAAAATTGCTATAAATACTTGTAATTTATTTCTGTTAATTAGGATTTTTTTACCAATCTCCCTTTGGAGACATGATCTTCTGTTCAAAAACTATTCTTCTCATGTCCCAAATTCCCCTCACCACACGATTGATTTTTCTAGTTCTGATCATATGATAAAGAGAACAGAGGATTATCTGCCCCTTATTTTATTTTCAAGTAGGCATAAGGTACCGAACTCACCTAGCAGAAATAACAGAAGAATAACGCAAAGACATAAGAAAAAACATTGTAGAGGTCCATCATGGACCATGGAGCACATGGCATATATGATCTAGAGAATAAGTCCATGTTACCCATAGACAATTACTCACCTTATCACCAACCAAGACTTTAGTGTAGTCAACACCATTAAATCCATGGAAAGAGGTAGTATTTTGTTTAGCCAGTATACTATCAACTCTCTTTCACACATATGTGTAACTAGTGTGTGTGAGAGATCCGGTACACCACGTCTGTCTACTGGTTAGATAAAATTTCTCAAATCACTATTTGGCAATAGTTTAAAAAGATATAGGTTACGTTCGGTAAAATTTTTTAAATATGATTAAAAATTGACTTGTATTTGAATTTATAAGTTTTGGAATTATAATTTCAGTGTGAAAAATTTATTTGGTGAATGAATTTTGAAAAGAATTTTGAATTGAGTGGAGAATTATTGATGTGACATATGATATTTGATATAAAAACTTACAACTCGTAACCAAAAACACAACTCAAAATTCTATTAAAGCTCATAATTTTTTTTTTTTTAAATTCAAAAAATATCTTTTATTGAATATATAAAAATTAACATGTGTCAATTGCCAACAAAAAAAAATGCACTATTTCGGTCAACCGGCCGAATGACCGATGGGACAACCAGTTAGCACAAATTCTCCCGCCTTCAACCGCGTTTTAAAAAATGAATGTGGAATTAATTTTTAAAAATCCTAAACAAACACTATGCTCAAATCAAGCTCTCTGGAACTAACATTCCAGAGCTCCACCAAACAGAGCCATAGTTTTTTTTTTTTTGGTTGAAAAAATCAAATAAAAATTTAAAAAATGTACAACCTTTTTAAAAGTTGTTAACACATGTCCAAAAGACACGTTAACAATACCCATTTATATATGATGAATGTCGGAAATAAGATTATAGTGTCAAAGATATCCCATATATTATGATATTTTTGACTGTATAATTTTATCTCCAACAATGAACGCCCTTGAATGAATCTTTTTTTTTTTTTTTTGGGCAAAAATTGGTGTGAAGAAATATCTCAAGGATGGCGGTCAAATAGAGTCGGTTCCGGGCAAGCCTAGAAGTTTCAAATGCCGGATGAGCCTAAATTCACAAAACTCAAAAAAAAAAATGGTAGAAATTAAGAACTTCTACACCTATCTTTGTGCTCTATTTTTGTTGCATTGACATCTGAGCTTGCAAACATATCATCGCTAGTCGTTTGGAGTAGTCACTATTCCAAGAAGTTGAATTGTTAAAACATTTGAATCAGAAAAAACAATTGAAAATGTTATAAAAACATAAATAAACAAAAATAAACAAAAAGAAGTCATTGAATACTAGCCACCCCCGTTTTAATCAGCATTCAGCAGAAACTAACACGAAATGTCATAACAAAATAGAATAAAAGAGAATAAAAAAAGCAAGAAGCAATTGACCAAGGTGGGATGTCTCTATCCAATAATTATTATTCTTTTCCCCTTTTGGTGCTTATTTCATTGTGTTACAGCTTGAACACATGAAATTTGTCTATGAAAGGAACTGAGAAAAGCCTTGCTACATCAATCCATCCTAAAGATGATCATGCTCCTGAGATTCAGCAAATTGTTCATGTTCAACTAATTGAACTCAAACTAAACGTAGTTCAATCATCAAATTTGAATGCCTTGACTTCCCAAAACCCATCAAATTCTTTGATCAAATATAAAGCATAAATCAAAAGGGTAAAATTGTGTCTTTTCCCATAAAGATATATCACTAGTTCACAAACAACTACATTAATGGGCTAGTTCTCAATGACTTGATTGTTCTCGAAATACACATTTTCAATAAAGCTTGCAAATGAGATGAAGAAAGGGACATAATTTGTTTTGAACTTTCAACACACATCACATCAAGAAAGCAATTACTTATGCCATTAGAATGAATAAATTGCAAAGATGTGTGAACAAGAAAAACATGCACAAGTGATGTAATTGCAAAGATAAGACCAAAGGCTAAGTACCTTGTCCTAATCCTAAGTTTGAAAAACAACTTCATATCTCACTTTAAGAAAATTGAATCCATCAATGTAATCTTTGTGTTAAGTTCTGTGTTTAGTTTCTGTGTTCCTAAATCTACTGCTCATAATTTCATATAATTCCACACGGACTTTGAACAATGGGTTCAAAAACTTAAACCAAAGAACCAAAATTATCTTATCCCATAAAAGACCGGCACACAAAGAAGATGTTGAATAATCTATTCATCTATTTGCCATTTCATTCAGATCTTGCAAAAGATACAAGTCGGAACAACTTCGAAGAGATGAAAATCTTAATTACAACCATTGAGAGGACAATAGATTTTCTTTTCCCTGCATTTTTGTTCGTGAATAGTGAGTAAATTGGTGGAATGGACTGAGTTAGTCCATAACCACATACACAAGTCTTCAACATGGAAGATGAATAATTTATCACCCGTATTATTATGTACTTACAACATTTGACGCCGAAGAATTGCAGAAAACACAACAGTCGGACATTATATGACCGATGATGCTTCCTTCCTCGATTGCAAGCTTTCTACTCTGCCTATTCCAAAGATGCACCGTGTAGCTTTGGCTTCGTATGCGATTGAGCTTATCACCAAACCATTTCGAATGAGCCTTGTTCCTTGGACCCCGGAACAAACCACTAATTCTACTCCAATCAACTGGATAAAACGCTATTGGATTCAAAACATGGAAATCAAACCCGGGTTTTCCTTCAACCCGCGAAACAACCCTTGAAACTAAGTAAGGCCCATTGTAACCCCACTTGTTTCCATTGAAAGTTCGCGCAAATTCTTCAATAAACTTGTACAGTAATGGATGTCCTTTATCAAATATCATCACAGCATTGTTCAATCGACTCCAATTACCCGTTTTAACATCAATCGTTTGTGCACCGATCGAATTACTTAATTTCGCGAAACTCTTTAGAATTAGAACATCAGTGTCTATATAAATACCTCCATATTTATATAACAGAGCGAGTCTAAGCAAGTTTGAGAGGTTTTGGCCTAGCGAAACATCACCGGGGTCAACGTCGCCTTTTTTTAACCGATTAAACCAAGTTTCAGCCACTGTGTTCTTGAACAAATAATTAAAATCAGGTGAAACAGCAATGACACGAAAATTCTTATCCAAAAAGGGTCTTAAAACTTGCATTCCTCTTCTTGAATCCATCGAATTCGATACGATTATCAAACAAGCATTTGGGTGAAACTTAAACAGACTCTGTATTGTTAACAATTCTCTGTCTCCAAATGAATCCAATGACGAAATCCAAGTCATGAAAAACCGTAACTTACATGAATTCGAATCCAAAAACTCTTTCACTCTCGTCGAAAACAGCTTTGCCCGAGCCTCCGAACGCAGAATCTTCAGCACCAGTTTGAATCTTCGCATCCTTTTCGGCGAAAACACCACAGAATCGTTTCGAAGAACCACCAAATCGTGCGGTTTCTGTAAAATCGGCAAGTGGTTCTTCGGGATAGATGGTGGGTTTTCTTCCTTGACAGCATACATCACAGTAGAAGAGAGCTTAGTCGAAGAAGACCGCCATTTCGCTGATTTTCCAGAGACATTTTCCGGGGAAAAACTGGCGGATTCCGGCGGGATTCTGGGCAGAAAAGGGACTTGAAAGGAGAATACAGTGGCAACATTGTAAGCTAAGAGGAAAAGAAGAAGAAGAGAGAGAAGTGCAAGCACAGATCTCTTGCTTTTCTGCAAACTGTGGTGAAGAGAGAGAGAGTGAAGAAGGTGGTGGTTGTTTTTGTTGTTGGTGGTGTTCATGAATGTTTAGTTGTAGTGAAATCTAGTGGGGGTGTTTTTGGTTTGTGGTTGGTAGTTTCATTATTGTGGTGTTTCTCTCTCTAGAAAGAGGAGGGAGGAGGAGGAGGTTGCAGAGCATAGTAATGGCGGAAGCGGCAAATGAAATCAAAAAAGTGGGGATTTTGGACTTTTTTGAAGATGGTATTGGATTCCCAAAATATATAAAAAGAAAGTTGCTATCAGAGAAGAGAACCGCTTTTTTTGAACATTTTTAGAGAGAAAAGTAGGAGTATATAGCGAAAGAAGATGTCTATTTTGATGAAAAATAGTTTTTAATGGAAAAATTTTAGGATAAATTATAAATATATCTTTTGAGATTTGTTTAAAATATAAATTATCTTTTATTAGAATTTTTACTTTAACAGAATTAATAAAAAAATAAAATTTATAATTATTTTCTTATATAATAATAAAATTATCTAAATTTTTAATGGGTGAATTACACTAATAGTCCCTACAGTTTAGGGCTTGTGTCAATTTGGTCCCTGACTTTTCAATTGTGATATATTTGACCCTGAATTTGAATTTTGTTCCAAATAAGGACAATTGAAGATATCATTAGATTTTTCGAGGGTAAAATCGTCAATGTGATAAAATATAAACTAATTTGACAAAAATAAATGTCAAACAAATATTTTTAAATTTTAAAAAATTATTTCTACCCACTAAAAATAAATTTATGTAAAATTGATAAATCTTTTAGATATTTTTTTTTACCAAATTAATTTTTATTATGTGTTCAGATTGTAATCATGTAAAATTAATTTTAAAAAATTAATCATTTAATTTTTATTAATTTTTATCAATTTTATATAATTTTATCATTGGTTGATAAAAATAATTTTTAAAAAATTAAAAATATTTTTTTGACATTTATTTTTGTCAAGTTAGTTTAGATTTTATTAAATTGATGATTTTGCCTTTGAAATTGAATAATGGTATCTTCAATTGTCCCTGTTTGGAACAAGATTCAAAATTCAGGATCAAATGTGTCACAATTGAAAAGTCAGGGACCAAAGTGACACGAGTCCCAAACTATAGGGACTATTTGTGTAATTTGCCCATTTTTAATTGAAACATATTTACAACATTATTAAAATTTGTTAATTGACTTGATAATTTATTAATAAAAGGACGATTTGTTATGAAATTAAAAATCTCAGGAGTAGAATATTATTTTCATAATCACATAGGGGTGATTCGTATTTTAATTAAACCTTAAAGGATGTATTTGTAATTTATCTAAAATTTTATATGCAAAACATCTTTTAAAAAAAAATATTTTTTTGAAGAAATACTTTCTTTTTTTTGAGGATAAGAAATACTTTCTTAGGTAGTGGAATGAATGTGGAGCTGGACCGGGAGGTAGTGACATCGTGGTGGGCAGCATCGGTAATAGTGACAGTAGCATGGTGGTGATAATGCGTTGATATTGATAAAATTTTTAGTTCAAAAAATATGTTTCATATTTGAAAAGTAAAATTTATTTTCTACTCATATAATTTTATTTTTTGTTAATTATAAAAATATTTTCTACCTAAATAAAGGAAGCGCAAAATCAATAGTTGTATATTGGGATTTATATTTTGAATAGATCTAAACTATATACTGCTTTATTTTATTTGGTATGTTTTTAATTTCCTAACACTAAAGCAATTCTAAGGGTAAAATACAAAATGCATTGTAAAAGTACATAAAATATATGTTAGGATCAAAGACACCCAGAGAATTATCTTACACATACAGAGAACACAATATTTACGTGGTTCGGCCCAATGCCTACATCCACGGACAGAAATGAGAATTATCACTAAAATGGAGCAAAAATACAATTACAGAGGAGGAGATGAAACTCACTCAACTCACAGCTCTCACTCTCCAATTTCTGATGGTTCTCACTCATTGTCTACTCTCCTCTCAACCTCTATTTATACATATCATGAGCGAAGGTAGCTGGACAGCAATGGTGAGTGGATTGGTTAGTGGGGAGGTGCCACTCCCACTCTCTCTAAAGTGGTCTCCAACCACCCCACTCTCTCTAAGGTGGGTTAGCCACTCACATGGGATGATAATAACATAGCCAACAAATCACCCCCTCAACCCATGTGAGGTGATAAACTGCACACACTGCTGCTAATCTTGTCACGCCCAAATTTCAACAGAATCTTCATCTCCTCATTGAGACGCTACATCCCCTGAAGCTAGAGATAATACACCAGAGATACAAGAAGAGGAGGGAATCCTACATCCTCAACTATATGTTACATATGTTGACGTGATATTTGTAAATATTATATATACATATAATTAAATTATTTAAAAAAAATATTTTCAAATGATAGAGGCAGCAATTTCAGATGGAGGGAGTAAGTAATTTTAGCAAAAAATCTTTGGTTGTGTTTAATAGAATTTTTTAAATATGATTTGAGAATAGAGTTGTATTTTGAGTTTGTGAGTTCTGGAATTATGATTTGAGTGTGAAAAATTTGTTTGGTGAAAGAGTCTTCAATTGAGTGGGGAATTTTTAATGCGACATATGATATTTGATACAAAAACTTACAACTCATAACTAAATACACAACTTAAAATTCTATTAAAATTCATAAAAAAATTTAAAAAAATTTGAAAAATATTTTTTATTGAATATATAAAAATTAACATATGTCAATTGTAAAAAAAAAAATTATACTATTCCAGTCAACCGGCTGAACGACCGGTGGGACGATCGGTAAATTTAAATTTTTTCGCTTTCGGCCACGTTTTCAAAAGTGAGTGTGGAATTCATTTTTAAAAATAAAAAACAAACACCATGTTCAAATCAAACTCTAAAACTAACATTTCAGAGCTTCACCAAACAGAGTTCTTTAAAAAAATATATACAACCCTTTAAAAAAAAAGTCAAAATTAACTTCTTATGAAAACTCAAAATTAAAATGAACATTTTACCTCTTTTAATATAGAGCCCTTAAAAAAAAATAAAAAAAAAAAAAAAAGGAGAAAACCAATTATAAACAAAAATATCTCAGGATACACTTTTACCTCCTACCTTAAAAGTTGCTCTAAGGACATGTATTGGGCTTTCTAATTAGCTTCTACACCTTTATTCATCGAGGACAATGATATGTACATTTATTTTTAATTTCTTACATTATTTTTATGAAAATAAAATGTTTAAATAAAATGCTCTATTGTTCTTTTTTCTTTTTTTTAAGAGCAAATTACCTACAACCCTTTTAAAGTTTAGTTAAATTATAAATTTGCTTGAGACTTCAAAAATTACATTTCGCCCCCCATATTTATATTCGCATAATAATTTGACCCTTACCTTGAACTAAACGTCAAGAATGATTACAGAAGTATGGTGACATCACCAAAATATATATTGATAGATGATATTGCCCTTGATATCTTTCCAAAGCACCAAACAACCTGATTTAACCTGAAATCCCTTTAATAAGTTAATAAAATTTACAATTACGTTAGATGGAAAAAAAAATTTAAATTTTTAGAACCATATTTGGTTTGTTGTTTAGAAAAAACTTTCAGATTTTTTTTTTTGATAAAATATATTTAATTTGTAAACTTCACTTTATTCTCTGTGTTTTGGGCTGGATGCGAATTTTACCTCCTAACATTTGAAAATCGCGCACATAATCCCACGTGGTTTGTAGACCAAAGTGCATCGTCCATTTTTCCATCCAAATTAACAAGCTATGAAGTTCACACGCTGATGGAGAAAGTAAGCTCCATTTTTAGATCAAAATACCCCTTTGTACATTTTTAAATTTACAAAAACTTGCCATCCTTCTTTCTCACTCTCTCTCTACCATTTTCCCTAGGGGTGAGCAGCGGATATACCGATCCGCCAAAACCGACCGAACCGAACCGATCCGCCACATTTTGGACGGATGTGTGATGACGAGCGGATGGTTGCGGATTGATTTTCTCAAATCCGCCAATTTGGCAGATGGATGGCGGATTTGAGATTTTTTGGCCGCAACCGAACCGCTAAACCGCCAAATCGCAAGCACCCCTAGTAATTTATAAGACTTTGTATTTTGAATTTGTTTAAATATTATGTTTGTGTTTTCAATTGAAAAAGAGTTTAAATATTCTGTTGAAAAAAAGTTTTCAACTTGAATATATTTTTTAAATTGAAAAAAATAAACGTATTATTCATATATATTTTTTAGTTTTTAAATGTAACTCTAAAAATAATAAATAGAAAATATGATATATGCTGGTTGGTTTTTGTTTTAAAAAACATATGTAGATGTAACAATACAGAGACATTCAATCTGTACTACTGCTTTGTTCATGGTTTTGGTGGTTTGAATTGTTATTATATTTTAAGAATCACAGATTATAATACTTTATGGGGATGAATCATGCTGTGATTGTAATATGTGGATGAGGCATGCAGTGATCGTAATATTCTAAAGTTTCAAACTTTTTTTCTTTGGATAAGGCATACAGTGATTGTAATACTTTTTTAAGTCATTGATTGTAATACTTTTTTTTTCTTTTTTTTGTTTGAGGAAGTGCACAAGTCGAATTATGTTGAAAATTTATAAAATTTTAAACCGCAAAACCGATTTGCATCCATCCGCCAAACCGCCAATCCGCTCAATCCACATCCGCCGGATTGGCGGACGGATGCGGATTGATTTTCTTCAATCCGCCAATCTGGCGGACGGATAACAGATGAAGGTTCTGTGGCCGCAACCAATCCGCGCCCACCCATAATTTTCTCTTTTCTCACTATTTCTCTCCTATGAAAATCCCCATTAACTGATCATCTTGCCACCACATTTTCTCTCTCTAATGTTATAAAAGTAATTTTAATTTAATTATAATAATAAGCTATGGTGGGTTGGAAGTTGGCAATGGCAGCCATGGGAGAACATAAGCTCTAAATCAACAAAGAAGTCATTGAAAAAAAAAAAAAAAAAAATACAAGGAAACCAAACCCTCCTTAATAAAACCGGGCTTCTACACCCACCACCACTCACTTTCATCAAAACCCAACCATGACCCACTTTATCAGTTTCTTGATTTTGGAATTGGAATTTGAATTGGATTTTGTTTATCAAGTTCTTGAATTTCTGCTCAACTTCTACAAAAATTGAGTTCTTTAGTGTATTTAATTTGTGATTTACATCACTACCCTGTTTAGTGATATATATATATATATAACTCTATATATAGATTAGGGTTTTCCTATCCGTCAATCTCCTATGACAAAACCAAATCTGCAACTGTCGATCCAAAAGCGCTAACTTCACCAAAAAGCAGTCTATGAAGCAGCCCTCATAAGTTTTCTTGAGAATCTCCAACCGAGAAGCAGTCTTCATCTTCCGCTTCACCTGGTTCTCTCCGGACTTCAGCGGCTTCTTCTTCTTCCCATCCGAACCACCACCACCACTGCTACCTCCCTAAGTTGTGGAAACCCAAACCCTTTTTGTCCCCCTTCTCTCTCTATAATTTCTCTCTCCAGAAACTAGGGTTCGGAATTGTAACAATAGTTTGAGAAAGAGAGAAGAGAGAGCAAATGAATAACTCTATATTTCCGTGTATTTCTGTGTATATTTACAAAGAGATGTACACTCTCTTTATAGGGAGGAGAATACAACATAGGATGCCAATTGAGGCACCGAAAGCGTAAAGCAAGGGGACACTAATTATTAAAGCTAAACACTAACATATAATAATATACTAACAGCCCCCCTCAAACTCAAGGAGGATAGGTACTAACCAACTTGAGTTTGGAGAGAGTAACAAAACAGGAAAGTAAACTGATAAATAAAATAAAATAGGATAGGAGACGCTATATGGTTGTGTCAAATCATTGTTAAAGACACGGTATGGTCGTGTCACACCGTTGGAGAAGACACTGTATGGTCGTGTCGGACCGTTGTAGCAGATAATGTCTGGACAGTTTACGAGGTCATGCCGGACCGATGTAGAAGCTAACCGGAATCAATGTCGAGACAGTTTACGGGGTCATGTCGGACCGTTGTAGGAGCTAACCGGAATCAATGTCGGGACAGTTTACGAGGTCATGCCGGACCGATGTAGAAGCTAACTGGAATCAATGTCGGGACAGTTTACGAGGTCATACCGGACCGATGTAGATGCTAATCGGAATCAATGTCGGGACAGTTTACGGGGTCATACCGGACCGTTGTAGAAGTTAACCGGAATCAATGTCGGGACAGTTTACGGGGTCATGCCGGACCGATGTAGAAAACTTTGGTGGTACATTAAGGGGGCGACTTAGAGAGTGCTCCATGGGGTGGCTTGGGTGGTTCGCATGGTGTATAACCATGCTTACCATGATATATGTATAATACCCCCCGCAAACTCAAATAGGTTTGAAGATAGAAACTTATTGGAGGTTGAAACAAAGGGATTGATAAAGTGGAGCAGAACGGGGCATCACAAAGTGGAGATGTTATAAAAAAAATAATAATAATAAAAATGGTAGAAAGGTTTTTTTTTTATTATTTATTTATTTTTTTTTTGGTGGAATATAAAAAAAAATAAGATAATGAAAAAAGGGTGATGCTCACTAACTGAGTTGTATGGGGGAAAAAAAAAAAAAAAAAAAAAAAGATAATGAAAAAAGGGTGATGCTCACTAACTGAGTTGTATAATAATGAAATATTGATGGAAAAAGAAAGATAAAAAAAAATAAAAATAAAATAAAAGTAGGGATAGTGAGATCAGACTCTCGGTTACTGAAGCCGTGAGTTGAAAATAATAATGATGCGTTGAAAAGTGGACATAATGGTAGGGATAGGGAAAATATATTATAATAAAAATATATATATATATATTAAAATAAAAGAAAAGTGTGAAATAACGTGGGTGGAACCAGCACATGGTTTTGGTTTTATGGTTCATTATTTGAACTGGGGCCAGCCACTAGAGAGCATGTATCTCTCTCTCTCTCTCTTCTCTAGAACCAGACTTGATTCCTTCGGTACACCAGAGAGATGGGTTTAAGCTTCCAGGGTGAGTTGGATAATGCTTCAATGGTGGCGGCAACGTTGGAGTTTCGATCTCCGCCGCCGTTGGTGGAGGCGTGGAGGAGTAATTGTCCGCCGGAGCCGCCGTGCCAGACGGAGGAAGGGAAGGTGCAGTTGACTATGACGACTGTGTAGACGCGGCCATAATCCACCTCCAAGTTCTGGGACGAAGCTCTGCCACTCGACGACGTCGGAGTCGATTCTACGGTGGAATCCAGTGGGGTAAGGTAACCAGCTGCAAAAGCTGTTTGGTGTGTTGTTATCACCCACGGTGGGGATGCCGTGTCGGTGCCAGAAGTGGAGGTCGCCGATCTTGGAGCTGACGACCGTGAGCAGCGTGGTGAGCTTGGTGCTGTAGCTGCTGGCACTTTTGCCTTGTATAAGAAGCATCAGTCAAAGAAAGACCCTGAGCATGCCCACAAGCATAAGATAGAGGAAGAGATTGCAGCTGAGGCTGCAGTTGGATCTGGTGGGTATGCATTCCATGAGCATCATGAGAAAAAAAATGCCAAGGAAGAAGAGTTTCTGGTATGTGTTTGTGGTATGTGTTGAAAACTCCAGCAGGCAGCGAAGGCAATGTTGCCGGCCGGAGTAGCTGGTGATGGAGTAACCGGAGGTGGAGTGGCCGGTGGTGGAGCTGAAATCGGCGGAGCGGACACCACAGGAGGTGTGGCTGGAGATTGACCTCCAACGTCGGCGACGACAATGTAGATAAAAGCTACAACATAGACGGACCTGCGATCCATATCCACGGCCTCACTGGTGTGAAAGTATTGATTATTCCCTCAGAGAGACAAGAGTTCAGTTCAATTATGGAATTTGTGGCAGCGGAGTGAAGGTATGTGTAAAGGTCCGGCGGGCGGCCAAGGTGAGACTGCCGCCCGCCGGTGAAGCAGAATGACTAGGTTGTTAACCTAGCTCTGATACCATGTAACAATAGTTTGAGAAAGAGAGAAGAGAGAGCAAATGAATAACTCTATATTTCTGTGTATTCCTGTGTATATTTACAAAGAGATGTACACTCTCTTTATAAAGAGGAGAAGACAACATAGGATGCCAATTGAGGCACCGAAAAGCGTAAAGCAAGGGGACGCTAATTATTAAAGCTAAACACTAACATATAATAATATACTAACAGGAAGATCAAATTCTATGAAGTAGCCCCCATTTGAGCAGATCAATTGCATCAAAAACTAGGGCATCAAGATTTGGGAATCGATTTCAAACTATTTGATATTGACGAAGAAAGAAAGGAAAGAATAAGAATTCCCGTAACTCATTTACAGAGACGTAACGTATATAGATATACATATATAGTTGATATATATTTGCAGGTTTGATTCAAAGAGAGAAGAGTAAGAAGATGACGGTACAATGATCAATTTACATGTTCTGTTAATAGAAGTGGGTATGTGTTTTAGTCCACAATCTAGGTGGGGTTATGAGGTGATTTCCCAATGTTATGGGTAATTCGCACCTGGCTTAAAATACAGGGTAAAATGAAGTTTATTTAAAATTATTTCTAACTAATCAAAAGATAAAATTATATAAAAATAATAATTATTTTTTATTTTTATTTCTTAATCAAATTAAAGTTTAACTTTTCAAAAAAAATTCTAAAAATCAAACCAAACATAGTATAAGAATCTTTTGATAAGTCATTTTTTGCGTTGGTGACTTATTTAATTAATTGTTAATTTTATGATATTTTCACTATCTGATAAGTATTTTTTCATCTTAATTTTACATTTCATTACTCATTTAATTAATTAATTTTGTATTCACAACTTATTCAATTAATTTGCTATTTTTTGAGTTTTTTTTTTTTTTGTGAATAGTTATTTTTTAGGTAAAAAATAAGTATCATGGAATCCTCTTCAACATGGAAGGAATGAAAAAAGAGCACTTAAGTAGCTTAAAATTGAAATATTAGCTTAGAAAAATCCAATACATTATCTTATTTTTTTATATTCAATGAATTTTTAAAAAAAATTTTGCACAAATTTTATACTTTTTAAATATATTTACATTAAATTGATCTAATCTAGATATAATGGTAGAAATAAAAATGAAAAATTATATTCATATATAAAAATTTATACAAAAAATATTGTGATAGTAATATTATTGTAAATATATAAATCATGTTTATGAATGCTATGTTTCAAAATAAAAGGTCACCATTAAACTATATTATTATGTTTAAAAAATCTATATAAAATTTATGTTCGTATATCATCACTCAATAACAATATGTTCAGATATAATTTAGTGATATGATATTAGTAATCTAGGGGGAATTTGTGATGAAATTACAAATCTCAGGGAAATGAATGTAATTTTTTAAATGTGAGGAGAGATTTGTATTAAACAGAAATCTCAAGGGGTGTCAGTGTAATTTATCCAAGGACATTTTAGTTAATCTACTATCTCTGTTATCGGAGTTAATTGTAATGGGATATGACGTAATTTTTAAAATTTCAAAAAAAAATTATAATTTAAATAAAACTCCAGAGGTGTAGATAATTTTTCCTTTTTTAAATTCATAATCATTTACAAATGATTCTTTACAATGTTCCTATCCAAGGTTTAAATCGGGCTAAGTGTAGTTGGATTGCCAAAAAAAAAAAAAAAATTGCAATACAATAATGACATTATGACCTCTTTTTGGAAAGATATAAAAAGGCAAAAATTAATTTTTTAATTTATTTTATGTCATATTATTATTTTTATTTTTATATATATATTTTTAAAAATTTTAAAATCAAAAAATTATTTTTTAACTAACTTTTCAAAATATATTAATATTACAATCCAATCAATTTTATTTTTTTTTAAATTTTACCCTTTATATATACCTAACAAAGCATTGTACCCGAAAATGGGATTTAACCCTCCCCGCTCATATACTTTTAGATTTGATTTGGCATAATTAAAAAAAATCAAAAAGTCACTATCCTATTTAAGTTAAATCATTTTATTTAAGTTACATTATCTCTCTACCACATCACTTCGAACTCAACTCATATTTCATAAAAAGTTAAAAACTGCACTTATTTACTTTATCCCAAACAATCCACTATGTGGATGCTTGGGAAGTAAGTTTTTTTGTAATTTTTTTAGTTGTAGAATATTATTAGAATTTTTTTTGTATTTGAAAAAATAAATTTTTTTGTAATTAAATGCAATGTTTGTGAGAAAAAAAATGAAATAATTATGAAATTTGATATAATATTTTGTTTGAATTTATTTTTTTTAATTTTATAACTAATTTGTCTTTTTAGTAAAAAAACAAAAATAAAATAAAAATCAAGTTACCAAAACACCGTCATAATCAGTGATACAACGTCATTAATATCGTTATCACATTCAATTTTTATTGTCGTTTTTAGTCCAAATCAAACCTATTTATTGAGTAGGTCTTCGCTCTAGAATTTTGCTTTCAGCTCGTCGGAAAAAAAACGCATGGCGTGGATTTTAGCACCATCTTAGTGTGTCGGGTCAACTCAGCTCGATATCAACTTTTGATCATTAAATTAATTTCGGATAAACTATACTTACACCTTCGGATATTTAAGTTTAATATATATTACTTCTTAACATTTAAAAAATTATATTAATTTCTTATCATAAAATTATTTAGACTGAATGAATATATTAAACTCATATATTTTTTTTTTTTTTTTTTTTTTTTTTTCTTTTTTTTCTTTTTTTTTTTTTTTTTTGCTTTGCTTTATTTTCCCTCTTTTTTCCCTATTTTCTTTATTTTTTTTAATGTAATTTTTTCTGTTTTTCTATTAAGAGTTGTTATTTTTTATATAAGTAAAGAGGTTTGTGAAATAAGACTATTAACTGCAGGGATGTAAATATAATTTTTAAAACGTCAAAGAATGGATTGTAATTAGATCAAAGCTCAAGAGGTGTCAATATAATTTATCCATTAATTTAATATTTTATAAATAATTTTAATTATCAAAATAAAGGTCATTATAACCCATGAGCTTAGACACCACGAGTTTAATCCGTTGGTTGTCCTTCCATCAAATGATATGATTCATGGGAGTGTTTTAAAAAGATGAGTAACAGTTAATTTTTTTTGACTTTTTTTATTTAATTTTTTTTAAAAAAGCGTGTTAAAATATAATAAATAATATGATTCAAAATAAATTAACAATTAGAAAGTGATTTTTATCTCATTTTTCAAAAGAGGTCATAGCCTAAATGACAAGGAGACTAGGGGTGCAACTTGGGCGAGCTTAATCCGAGCAACTCGGACTCAGCCCAAATTTTTTTAGGACTTGAACAAGATATTTTCAAATTCGGTACGGACTTGGGTAAAAATTCAGAAGTCTGAATTTAATTTGGACGGGCTTGAGCAAAGACATCAAACAACCCGAATAACCTGAATCCGAAATTATACATATATAGATATATAAAAATATTAAATATATATATATATATATATATATATATATAAATTATTAGCTATTACATGATATTAAAGTAATTTATATTATTAAATTATATTGAATATATATCATATATACAAACAACATAAAATTTTAAATTTTTTTTTTTATTTTCACTCATAAATTGTAAGGACTACTATAGTGGCATCTCTCTTGCATTATATAAATTATTTATTTTGATGGTATTAATGATTTTCTATGAATAAAAAAAAAATTGTAAATAGAGTCAAATTTTAAAAAAAACAATTTGGGCAACTCGGGCAATTCGGGATTAACTCGGGTCGAGCTTGGGTAGGCAATCTCGAATTACAATTCGGGTTTTGGCGGGCCTGGACAAATCTCAACATAACTTGGACTGAGTTTGGTTAATCTCTCAACCCACCTGAACCCACCCGAATTGCACCCATAAAGGAGATGCCAATTGGAAATATATGAGAGATTCATTCATCTCATCTCTCTTCAAATCAAAAAATTATAGTTTTTTTTTTTTTTTTTGGAAGTATTTTTGGAAGTATTAAGTAGAGTTATTTACATTATTCATCTAATTAATGAGAAATCGCAACATATTAAATGAATTATTATTCTTTTATGAGTCATTATTTATTTACTAACTATTTCATAAATGTAAATTAACATATCTTACTTATAAAATTTTTCATACACTTAAATAATGGTAAATAATACTTTGAGTACTAAATAATGACCACTTAAATGTTGGCTTCTTTTGAGAAGTGAGTTAAAAGTTACTTATTAGTTTTTAACTTATTTTTGATCATATCATTTTTTACATTTTTTACACATTTTTAAAAAAAAGTTAAAAAATTAATTTTTAATCATCTTCCTAAAATACCCCATTGTTATGACGGTTTGCTCTAAAAAAATTGTCAATATTCAATCAGTCACGTAATTGTGCCTAAAATAAGGGCACAAAAATAAAGTTTGTAAAGTTGATACGGACGTTTTACCGTACACACCTTAACCAAGGGTTGTATCATATAATATTTTGTGGTGTTAATATCACAAAATATCCTAATTAAATCAATTTTAATCATAAATAAAATATGTCATAATTGAAAAAAATCAACACT